CGGTCCTCTGTTAGGTCCGTCTGTCCGAGGCTTTGATCGAGGTTTCGAAACATCTTCCTTTTTACGGTGCAAGGTTGTTAGCCTTGCGACCAACCCCCAACCTGGAGGTCCAGGGTACCTATCTTAGTGTGACCTCTCCCCCTCGACCAATCTGGCTAGGAAGGCCCTACCAGTAGCTCTTGGGGTCACTGAGGTACTCAAGCACCACCACCACGACAAGGTGCAGGTACCATTAACTGGGACAAGTGAATACCCTAAGCATATTAACACCAATTTTCTTGCCAAGATCACCACATTGTCCTAACAACTAACACTTTCAGTGCAGAGACCAAGAATCCTAGATGAAGAATAACATTAAAATGAATATTCAAGAAACAGAATATAAGCTCCATTCATCTGACTGCTGGTGTCTTGTAAATGCAGTAATGAATCTTCAGGTTTCATAAAAGGCAGGGAATTTATTGACAAGGTGAAAGATATTTAGCTTCTCAAGTAGTACTCTGCTTCATGCAGTTGGTTAATAAAAATCATAAATATTTCCTACTTACTCTATAGCAGCTTGATGTTGCTTAATACATTTCACAAGATACAAGAAGGGTTCATCATCTTCGAGCGCATCAGAATCAAGTCTGCGATTGGTAACTTGAAGCACAGTGTCTCCAGTTTCTTCTGAATCATCAGAGAGATCAGCAATAAAGTTTCCCTCCGTTGGATACATAAAAGAATCACCATTCAAAATACCTTCAATGCTAGAAAGCCCATTTTTATTATTTAAACTTTCTTCTATGAGATCACTTTCTTGCATTTCTTCCGTAATCATCGGTTCAGGTAGATCAGTGTCGTTATCTTCAGATTTCTTTGCAGCTTCAAAACGATCAGACTGTAATTCTTCTTCCATGCAAACCATGGTACTTTCCGCTATCTCCAGTTTTCCCCATGCATGTACCATAAAAGTTATGAAAGTCGAATTGGCACAGATATTATGGCAGGCAGCCATCACGAGCAGGACAGATTGAAACATGTACACAATTTCAAATAGTGGGGACCATGTGGCATCAAATGGGAACCAGATAATAAATACAAAATCAGCATTCGGTTTGTTGTCGCTTCTCGTTTTGTTTAAAAAATGGCGCTCCACCACTAGGTCATGAATAGGGTTATATATAAGCCATTTGACAGCACCCAGTACTGCCAAACCCCAGAAACATCTCATCACGATTCTGATTTCTCGTCTGCAGCCTTCTACGATACCCAAATACTTCTTCACCAAGTGCGGCGTGTTCACCTTCGGGACTGGATTTCCCTCTAGCAGTTCACACACATGAAGCACTCCTTTCTCATGTTCTATGATGTACAGATAATCAAAGAAACAAGCGACAAAAGCAAAGAATGTACCCGCACAGTCAGTGACGATGTCAACATCTCCCCAAAAGTGGTACATCGCAAGAATCTGAGCTGCCATGACAGGCACGTAAATACACAATATCAGATTCTGGTACCACCTGAAGAGTTTCAACCTCCAACGATTGGCAGCTATTCCTGGACTGGGAATCAAACCTGTGATGCTCAGTTCCAATCTTACCACATCCATCAAGCCAAGTTTCTGAGAGTCCATATCTTGCATATCAGATGCCTGTAATGGCGGATTCTCAAAGAATGAATTCAGCATTTTTCGGTTTCGAAAATATTTTGATTCGAAAGTAACTTGCTGATTGTGTAGATGACTGGATGTCCAGACTCTTACTGTGTCCAGACCAGCCTCCAGTATGAAACAGGATCCTAAAATTCCTTATTCCTTTGTAAGTTGAACCGGCATCAAAATTTCAAGCCATTTGTTTCACGTGAAAACATTCCTATTTACTGCTTCATTATAGATGCAAGGAACAGACAGTCTACAACAAAACAACTTAAAAATTCCCTTTTTGTTCTCATGCACAAGCAATTTAAATGCGTTCCACCAAATTACGCCTGAATAAAAATTTAAGAACAACTTTTAGGAATGAAGTTGGGTACATAAATCATATAAAAATTAATGACTAATAATATGAAAGTAAAATTTATCTTAACAGTATTACAGAAACTTAGGATTCTTTACACAAATGCGATGTATGAAGTTAATTAATATCAGCATAATCAGTATGGATCCAGAAGGAAACTACCTTAAAAGTTGAAATAATAGATAATATGAATTATTTTGTTATAGATTCACGTTTTAAACTACCACATTTCACTTTTCACAGTGGTAGAGAATTAATTTGTAATTCTAGAATTTAGGTTTATAAACGATATCTCTTGAAACACAGAACTCATTCAAATTCTGAAGAACAGAAATCAATATCCCTCATATTAAATTCACAGAACTGCTTAAGGAAACTACCATGACCACGAGCAAATGAATGTCTTTGCCGAAACACCATAAAGTCGCCATATAAAGGGCTCTTTCAGCGTAAAGTGATGAATAATTAACATTCGGTATTCCAAGCAACGTACACATAGCTGATTTAATATCTGCTACAAAGACTGGAGAAACTGTAGTTACTTATCTTCTAATTTCAATAAATAATAAATAAATCTGTGTAAAATAATAAACAATTCTGAAAGACAGAATTAGAAAGGATAAGAAAATACACTGTAGGATACTGGAAGACCTAGAAGCAGATGGAAAAATATTAAAATAGATCCCAATAAATTATGGTACTAGAGTGTGAACTAGATCAATCCGGATGAGGATTCGCGTCTTGTAAACATTCAGATTCCAAGAAAACAGGAAATTTTCTGACAGCTGAGCTCTGTCTAGGATTTTACACGGCAGTGCGTCCGAAGATGGATGTCTTCTGGGTTGTTGCGCCGTGTATTCTGGTAGAAGTTTACAGACGTTTTATAGGTACTAGCTGCCTCCATTATCAGGGCGATGAGGGAGCAAAGATCTCTGAAACGTCGGTAAACTTACACGGCGCAACAACCCAGAAGACATCCATCTTCTAAGTAAACCTTACCGCCAAATGCAGAAATCAGGATGCGAGGTCTATGCTTACATAAATCTTCAAAAATTAATTACCTGTAGAGCACAATTTTGTATCCGTGTATTAACCCTTTAAAGCCCACCGGTAACTATGTGTACCACCTACTTTAGCAATGTATAAATTCGCTTTATGTCAACAGAGTTTATTTATGTGTATCGTATGACTGTCAGAGAAAATATTAATTATTTCCTTAAACGTCGTTAACCGATTGATCTTTGTAATGGGAGAGTGATATGTTTTCTTTGCGGTAGGAACCGAAATTTTAAATATTATTTAAATAGGCTTTATAGAATCGCACTGCAACACAACTCCACGTACCTAGGTAGCGTTACCCATACAAGAGAACGGTTTAAATTATCGATTTTCTGTCGTGTAAAATAAAAAGAACGTATTTCTGCGTAACAATATAGCAGATGAAGAGTTCACAGCGGAGGGGGATATTCACATGTGGAAGTTCGTAGGATAATTTGTTTAATGTAAGGGCGCGGTTAGCACGAACTGAGGGGGGGGAGGGGGTGAAAGAGGGGGGAGGGCTGAACTAAAGTCGCCAAGAGCGAAATATTGGACGAGCGAGGTCTTCGAATCTCGTTATCAGAAACTAGCGAATATTGATTGAGTACAGGAAAATCAGTATTCTAAACGAAAATAAAAGTAATCTCTTTCAGGGGTTTGATCTCCTGGGATTATCCTGGCAGTACAATAAATGTATCTGAATATATATAATTTAGAATAAAAATAAGAATAAGAACAAGGTTAAGTCCAGTTTCAAGCTTTCGTAATCAAGTTCCATGAGGAAATTTTTTTGAACAGTTGAATACAAATTGACACTTAAAGGTAGAACTTGAAAAATATGGAGATACTTAATTATCTAGTCAAACAATTAGTCGTGAGATAATTACTAAGCCATTCAGCTAATCAATAATTAGTAAAACTGTTACTCATCAGTCGATTATCATCCAGTCAGTAACATTGGAGAATATCTTAGCAGAATTTAAAATTACAGTTATTTGTTTTTCGTATTCGGTAAAAGGAAATTCTGAGTATGTGTGATGTAATACAAGACTCATTCTTCTTATGGTGACATTTCATAATTGAAACGGTTGCTTATTACAGATGTTAGACAACTTCTAAAGTTAAAATTCATAATGCTCACGAATCGCTTAATACTACAAATGTTTACATGATCTGTAATTAAACATTAATTAAGCCACGTGTACACAGCGTGGCCTGAAAGTCCGTGTGATTATTTCCTTTAATCTGCGGAAATTACCGGATTGTTTGAGGAATCCAGTTTGCCGTGTTTAGTGACTCAGTAGCCACGCACGACGCCTTACATTCAGGCAACCTATACGACTCGCGTGTTATGTGGGTGGCTTACAGTGAACTTCTAAGAAATACTTGTTTGTATGTTTTTCAGCGTATAACTTCGGTTTTCGGGTGAAGTGACACCAAATATTCGAGGCGGCTCTCACCCGAAAGGCTATATTTTATATTTGCGTAATTATTTAATGTAAGAAAGTCATCAAATAATGTCCTGTGCCAAAACTGTAAATAATTACGATTTATAATGAATTACAAAACCGTACGTAATGCATAGCCGACTTTCTACATGTCTGAATTCGACTGTAGGCAGGAGCATAACGTTCATCTTCGCCCCTATCTTCAGACCAGTGTTGGGGGCATTTCCAGGGGTAAAACGGCGACAGCGTGAAGCTAAAAATTTATTTCCATACTAGAATACTTGGTGCGAGTATGAAGACGACAGGCAGGGCAGCCGGTCTCCGGGCTAAGATTTGAACCCGGAATCTCCCGACTACGAACCAGTAGTGCCAACTACTAGATCACCAAATATAATTTTAATACCTCCTTTTCTACACGATATACTGAGAAGCCTAGATATAAGTGTAACACCTGACTGCTGCAGGGCAGGTGGGCCAGATGCAATAGATCAATAAGCCTTGCGCTGACCTCAATTATCTTCGAGAGACGAACGAAGACGTGCTTGAAGAAGGCAAAACTGAACTCGTGGAACCCTGGACGCTACATCGAATTGACTTTATATATCTCTCTGAACTTACTGGAAAACGTTCACTTGGAAGACCGAGAAGACGATGAGAGAACAACACTGAGATGGAACTAACTTAGAGAGGCCTTGAGATTCGAAAATCCGTGGAAATTGTTTGGGATCGTACCCAATGGAGGACTTTGGTACAAGCGGTGTTGAATCTCAGGTTATACTTCGTAAGCTTACTGTTAGACAATAACAAAAGTTCAGAAACAGTGAAATGCCATTAATGATTCTAATGATGTTCCTAGGTCTTTTTCCGTCACACAGCAAAACACATGAAGGCGCATGACTGCTTCAAGTAAATAGATCAACCAAGTCAGGTCGACACCCTGATCATCAAACAATTCGGTTAGTACGCCCATCAATCATAACGTCAAACCTGTATCAGATACAAAGTTAATTTCGCGTCTAATGATAAATAAAGGTGATAATGATAAAATATATTACCGACGAATCCGCGTTTAAGGACTGAGGATGACCACGAAATCAGGCTAAGATTGGTGATTTATCGGCCGAGGTTACAGCCCGAATGTGTCAGGCTCGCTACCGCTGAGACGTCCTGTTCAGTAATAAAGGTAAAGCTCATTACGATTAAAGGAGAGTTGCATATTTATAACACTGGAAGAAAAGGGTTTTTTTTTCAGAATATTAACTTAAAAAAAAAGTGAGGAGTCTGTGTAGGATGGAGCTAAATCCGACTACTCAAATGTGAACAAAGGCAGGTACTTCTGTTGTGTTTAGAGAGCCTGTCCCTACTTAGGATTCCGTGCAGTACTTACTGTTTACTCAAAGTGTGTCAGAACGTAAATTTCGCGCTATGAAGTTACATGAAGTGACTGGTTTACATTATAACATGACACATACTGATATGCACTTCCCATAATCAATAGATGTGAATGGATTCTAAATACGGCATTCTTTACTGACGCCAAGTAGAGCTACGTAAAACTTTGATCTATGTGAAATAATGAGTACAATGATTGTGAGACAAGGCTGTTACGTGTATCGTAATTAGTTTCTGAAAACAAGGCACGAAACTCACGTTCAGAAAATGAAAGTTTCTTCTCGGATGATGACCGACGTTTCAGAGATGCCTCGATCATCAGGGCAAAATGTAAAGCACAGACGATTATAGTGTGTGGTACGGATAGTTACCACTGGGCTTTAAAGGATTAAACAGGCTTTGAGGCCACGAGATGTCGAGGTGGTTCGGAGTCCTGGTACCTCTCCCTCCCCCCCTCAGCCGACAGTCTCCTCGCGCCCACCAGGCGAGTTGCGTGCAAGCTAGCGGAAATCTGCAGTGTTCCTCCACAGTGCGAGGCGAGCAAGACAGAAGCCAGTCGTGGAGCGGAGCTTCGTTATCGCCCGTATCACCCGCGGACAACTCCACGCCGGTAAGTACAAGTTCATCGACACGTCCTCATACAGGTGACAGACAACGGTGTGCGAGAGATAAGCTACACATCAGGGATCCTTTTTTCGATATTCCTGTGGAAGGACAGTATTTTAATCACCGAAGCCACGTCCTTCATCCTACCACAATGCGCAGTACTTTACTTGGACAGGTGCTTCAAGTTTTAATAAAATTAAATCTAGGATTAAACCTTCTACTTGGACAGGTTCTTCAAGTTTAAATAAAATTAAATCTAGGATTAAACCTTTTTATTAAGAATAATAAACGATTAGTAACAATTAGATGCCGATTTAAACCAATTATAATTCTAAAATAGACAGAGCTGAGCAAATGATAAAAAGTACATGTTGAAAGAAACTTAAAGTTTGTTTTTATAATTCGCGTTTTTATTACTACTCAATATTGCTGCTGCAAGTTATTTCAGAATTATAATCTCTTTAAATCGATACTTCACTGTGACTCATCCTGAATTTTATTTCTAAGTAATAATACATTAAACAGCAGTGTCGAATAGGATTAGCTCTGTGGTGACGCGTCTGAAATAACCGTAAATAAACATATGTTTCGACTGGATTTATCAGGTTCGGGGCAGGGACCACTAAGGAGTCCTTGTGAACACGGTAGTGAACCTTCCGGTTTTATAAAAAGTTAGGAAATTTGAGTAGCGCTATTTTTGAAGTTTCGGTAATTCGGTCACGTCTTAAGTAGGTGACTCTTGTACCTGACAGTATTCTAATTAAATAAAATGTACACCAAAACCAATCCAAGTAAATTGATCACAACAGAAATCCTCTCATGCAGAAGGAAACATAAAGATATAAAAGAATCAGCTAAAACACCCCCCCCCAAAAAAAAACAGGATATTACCAAAAGTTAACACAATTTTTAAAAAAAACATGATACGGAACTCCATGATTGGAATAGGACAAAATTCCTTGTTCCTTTGATACTATAAATTATGGAAGCTGATAAAAGATCCGACAAGGAGAGAGAGAAGGACAAGACGATGGATGAAGTTTCGGGACTGACAATTCCGCTTGAGCAGTCCTGAAAAAAAATCTTTGTTCCACTCGACTGGTTTTGTAAGAACTGGAAAGAGTTGCAAAACTTGGATAATGTGGTATACGAAGCGAGTGACTTCCAAAGTTCGTCGCCCCGTTGAACATACATACTCAGTTCCTGTCCAAAAATGGCATAAGAAAATAAGACAATACACAGCCTACAATTTTAATAATATGAGATCGGCTTTGAACCTAATGTAATTCATACCGAAGTTCCGATTAAATGATTTGTCTTTGGGGAAACACTTAATTCGTAAATCAAGTTTCCGAACTCGCGAACAACAATCTGGCGTCTTATTAATGCCCATGTCAAAATAAAGTTTGACCGAAAATTTAAATAAATTGGCCTAATAAATTCCAACACATGAATTCTAGAAATTAGGATATGTATCATTTCTGTTGGCATGTGATTCGGACTTTGTGATCTGTCATTACTTTCTTTGCACATTCCAGCCATCGTGCCATAATCAAGGCGTCACCATGACCACCATGATGGACGCCCCAGTAAGTGTGACGTCCACTCCGAACAGAGCGTCCCGTCTCACACAGATGCAGGTGAGTGGTTTCTCTTTCCCCTTAAAACACAAAGCAGTTTCATCGTTTTCATTTTATTAATTTGTGGAAACAATTATGAAGACTTTCGAATACGAATTAAGCACCGACTACAAATCTACAGAAATAATGAGAATCAAGAATTGCGTAGCATGATTCTTAGACAAGGGATTTCGTATCTGAGGTGGTATAGTTCTGGGACCGAAGCTGCAAGCTGGGTTAAGGAATGTAACAGCCATATCGAAATGGTATATATCATCGCGATGATCTCTTAACCCTTAGAATCATGAAACTCGTCTAAATAATATTTAAAAATTGCGTTCGTACCTCAAAGAAAACACATGTCTCCATTGCAAAAAATCAGTTGATTTGCGAAAATGATCCCTGTTTACTTATGAATTTATCAATTTGTTCCTACGGATTGCGAGAACAAGCTTTCGGAATCCATTAAGGGAGTGAAATGAGGGTGATTAAGTCGAGAAGAGTGAGATGGGCGGGACATGTAGCGCGCATGGATGGTACAAGAGGTGTGCACCGGGTACTGGTTGGGAAACCTGAAGGGAAGAGACCGCTGGGGAGACCTAGACGTAGATGGGAGGATAATCTCAGGCGGGATCTACGGGAGATAGGAGTTGAAGGAAACTGGATTTTGTTGGCCCAGGACAGGGTCCGGTGGAGGGCTTTGGTTAATTCGGTGATGAACCTTCGGGTTCGGTAAGCCATCTAGTTGGTTGGGTCCACTATTTGGGAAGCCTGAGGGGAAGAGACCGCTGGGGAGACCTAGACGTAGATGGGAGGATAATCTCAGGCGGGATCTATGGGAGATAGGAGTTGAAGGAAACTGGATTTTGTTGGCCCAGGACAGGGTCCGGTGGAGGGCTTTGGTTAATTCGGTGATGAACCTTCGGGTTCGGTAAGCCATCTAGTTAGTTAGTTAGTTAAGGGAGTGAAATATCTTGACTGGCTGAATTACTATCAGCTTTTCAAGAAGGACTCTTCTGTACCAATTTACTGACGTTCCATCTGTCAGGAACTGAAACATCAGACGGACACCAATAGATTTACGAATAAGTAACAAGATTTTCAGCTGTGTTATGTAACAGCACGAATTACATTTACGTCACTCGGTAGACTGTCCCATAGTTAGTACAAGGTAAATGTCATTACCTTCAAGGCTTAATTAGAATACAACAATAATCACATTAAATAAGTGACTCATTTGATGTACAGTCCTGTCAGGAATATATTACATAGTACAGACTACGTAAGAAGTCTTGACATACAGACTGTCCCAAACATCTGGATTATAGATCATGGAGCACACTCTAAATGTGTCATTTGTTTTCACAAATATTTTACCAAACTAGCTCCACCCATAAAACCTGTATAGTCGACAAATGTTACGGCTCTGTGTTGCCCTTTTAATTTCTTACATCTATCATTTATATGTCACAATGCAGTCGAGTTAAAAGTAAGGGGGTTTTAATTTCTTGGCAATTGTTAATTTCATGTAGGAGGAGACATTTTCATATTGGCCTCGATCAGAAATCCGCTTTATATGAAAGGTTCATATGTCTAATTCCTTTTTGCCATACCACTGTCTTCGGTGAAGACAATTTCAAGTGCCATCCAGCCTCTGAAAGCGAAGAGCAGTGGACAGAATCGGGCAACTCCTTTTATCAGAAGACCCCGATTTCAGTCCCATCCACACGTTTCTCAACTGTACACAACCGTGAATTAAAATACGGTCGTTAAGTAATTACGTCACACATTCACTAAGCAATGCTTGATTTTGCTTCACGCCATGAGGACGTATGGTGAAGTGGAGGTACAGTTTAATGCATTATTAATACCATGCACCAGTTTGACATAAGTAGTCAGCTCAATTCCAAAGGACGGAGACAGAACCAGCCTCCGAAACGTCGTGGGTTTTAAAGAATAGACGATTGAAAAAGTCCTGACAACGAATAATTTTAAGTGTAAGTAGTCAGGTTCATGCTTCGACCTCATTGAAAGGAGAAGACCAAGAACCATTGGTGACCTTTCGACATGATGTTAGGTCTTATGTCTTAAGTCTTTGTTCAACATAAAAGTTCTGTAAGTGACTTGAATCCATCTCGCCCTCAATCTTTGCAGTTGTGTAGTGGGCAGAGTCAGTGGGCAAACCAGCTCAAAGATTCCCTCGGTGTATAATTACGACGTCCACCTTCTGTCACCTCTAAATGGTCAACTGGGGGGGAAGGGGGTGGTTGGATATGCGCTACGCCCTCGTGCTGAGCTTAGATAAGACGATGCATACAAACTACCTGTTCTGTCCCTAGAGAAATGATTAGCTATTGTCCGCCCAAACTAAAAAAATATCCTTGACCACAGCTAAGAAGTTTATCGACAGATCCAGGAGTCCATTCGCCTTAAGATATGCAAGAAACCCGACATCGCATCTGATGCTAGGCCGTCGTCACGTCAGCCAAGTACCCGCGCTGTATTTTACGGCGGGTCTGAACTTATACGATGCCATCATCTCTCTTTCCGCTGTGGATATCAAAGCTTCTGGTCCAACCCATCTCGCGCAGGCCAGAGGGCACCATAAAGTAAACGAACAGTGTTTACGTACAGCCTGTTCGTGTTTATACCCAAATCTTCTTTTAATTCCCGTTTTATTTCACCAATCTTAAGAATGTTTAATTCGGAGTTAAACGGACAGATTCCATCAACTCCACTGCTGCAGCCGTGATGCTAACGTCCCATAAAACTGCCTCAAGTGTCCAGACGAAGTCATTAAACTTTGTTTAGTAGCTCCCGTGAGCTGGGATGCTGTAGTTAGCCCATCCTGCGTTTAAGTGACGCCATTACATTGGGCACATATTTGAATTAAGGTAACAAATTAGTCACAAGCATACGCTGTCAGGATAACTACGTTAATGTGAGGTAGTGAATTAAAATATTTCAAGCACAAGCTTTAATATCCAATGTTTTTTTCTCCTCTTATTCTTATTATTATTCGTTCTTTCTCTCAACTCAAAATTATTAAAAGGATTTTGATTGAATTTTACAATGGGGTCTACACGTGCGTGGAACTTAAATCTGGTTCGCATTTTGTCTAACACTCGGCGAAAAAATTAATGTAATAAGTGAAAACAGATATCTATTTAGATGTAAGAGAGCTTGTCTACAAATAAAGTAGAGAGAATCCCAAGAAATGTTTACTTACGCGACAGCATAATGTCACTTAAAACATCAGTACATAACCACGAAACTAACCTGGAAACCATAATCATATAGCGAGAAGCGTGATAAACATGTTTAACTATGAAACTGGCGATAAAAATGTGTTAAAACGTTAAACTCCTATGCGAAGTTCTTAATTTCCATTAATTAAATTAGTTACAAAACAATAATTACGGAAAAAGGGGGCCTTAATTAGTAACTACCATGGACTAGTGATCAGACTTTGCTTTTATATTTTCTTGTTTGCCTCGGGTTGGCGTGTGCAAAACGGACTCATCGAGATCCTAAGTTTTAAACACGCTTTGTTAAGCGGTGTAGCCCGTTATGGATCTCGACATAACAATTAGCGACACGTAAATACGGAAATTAGAAAATGTTACATTTTTATTTTAAAGTTCTTGTTTGTATTAATAAATTTCCTCGTACCTACATAAGGGCTTACTTTTTCTGCAGCAACGGAGTTAAAACTGTAAATTCCCTAGCAATAATCATGAAATTACTTCTTGAACTGCCCGCTTACTTAATCCTTCGCACATCCAAATATTGTCCTGAGCAATTATTTCAAACACGTGTAATTTATAATCTGTCTTCACGAAAAACATCCGACAAAATTATTAATATCTGAGGTTGGCGAGGCAGTGAAGATGTCGATGTTGGTGTTCTGGGTTACAAATCCACGTGGACTTGTAGGTAGATACCGACGTTTCGGTGGAATATACTGACCTTCATATTCAGGGCTGAAGTGACCATCTCTTATCCTCTCCAAAGTCCTTCACCTTGATTCGATCCTCCCTTCTGGCCCTACAAAGGGCTTATTTTTTCCCCTTTATCCCAAACCAGCATTCGCCTTTGATACTCCCCTCCAAAACTTTGGTATCTATTTACAAGTCCACACGCGTTACAATCCAGGATACCAATAATGGCAAAACCGCTTTGTATTTCGTGATCTTCAGCCGTAGGCCTTCCAGGAGAAAGGTATGTGGTATACCCCACCTGTCCTGTTTAGTTTTTTAATCTGACGTAACCCACTTCTGGCGAAATCGCGGCGTAGTCATGGTTGTTAGTCGAGGGGACACTGCATCATGACTCAGGCTTCGTGTGTGATTTAATGTCTTGCCTTCCATTATGCTGGAAATGTCCTTCCATCCCAACATGGCTGACTCATCCAGCTGCTAAACCCATACCACGCACTCTACTGGAATATTAATAGCTACCGTAAAAGGCAGTAGACACTTGCCCCCGTCTTCAATGCAGCTCTCACTGAACACCGGTGGTCTTGCTGTGGCGTAGTGCACACGAAAGATTTTAGTTCGCCTGGATTTTAAATCAGGGATTAGATTTTGCCAATAGTGAATCACCCTGCATAACGAAAGACTATTTACCGCCAATTAAATATCAAGAAAATTATTGATAAAGATGACAGATCAAAATTGTCAAAAACTGTTTTTCTTTCTTAATTAATCTATACGCTGGCCTTGTAATCCTGGGGTCTCGGGTTCGATTCCCGGCGGTGCCCGAATTTATAACTTGCGTTGGGCAAGGCCGTGGTCTAGGCAACACGGAGTTTTCCTCCGGGGGCTTCCCCGGTTTCTCCGTGGCATCCCAACAATTACTCCATTCATACACAGAAGAAGGCAATGGCAAACCACTTCTGGATCATCTGCCAAGAACGTATATGAACAGGTCCCAGTCCGAGAAAAGGATGGAAGGATCCTGTTCATATGGACCTGTCGTCAGACAGAACACTAAATAAATAAATAAATTAATCTATATAT